AAACGATAAACGCAGAGGAAAATGAGGATGCATGAACTGGTGTATTTATTTGCTCAATGCTGCGTCTTGGGGTTTGGTGTCACACCAATGGTGTGGGTGAATAGTAGGAATAGTGCTTTTCAGTGGCATTTCAGGCTAATTTTTTCTTTCCCCTTCTTTCTCCTCTTCTTTTTTTCTTTTTCTCTTTCTCCTCTTTCTCTCTTCCCTCCTCTTCCTTTTTTCTTTCCCCCCTCCTTTTCAGTATCTTTTGCTCCCAGCTATCGTAGCTATACAGCTATACAGGAGATATAGTAAGGGAATGGCTCGTACAATCCCCTAAGTGTGAGTCCAAAACATCTGCTCTTGCGACGAGTTTGATTTAGGTGCATCCAAGAGCGACGACATGGTGGTCGATGAACTGGCGGTGATCCGAGCCAACTGTCCGAATGAGTCAGCGGGGATCAGGGCCGAAGCTATGAGTCAGCCAACATCGATCCCAGCCTATTCCCCACATCAACCGGTGGCATCTCTGGATGAGGGGCCAATACTGATTCCTGGCGACGATTTGGGTGCCACCGAAAAGAAGCTCGATGGTATCACCAGTCAGGAGAATGCTATCGATGGTGGACAGTTCGGCCGGAACCCAATTGATATCGTTTGTCCCTACTGTAACCTCCCCAAAATATTCAGCGTCAATCAACATATACGGGACGGTTCCCGGTTTGGGTTGTGCCCACTCATGCCGAAAAAAGTCTCGGTTAAGATGGAGCTGAAGCAGGAGGCGACCAAAAGGCTATCGAACTTGATCGTTGTCAGTGTCCCATCGAGTAACAAGCAACGGTGCGGGTATTGTGGCCTCTTGGTTGGTACTGTGCTTCAAGATTCAGCGGATGGGACTATACTATCTCCCCATGAGAAGTTCCAGGACGACGAGCTTGGTGGAAAACTGTCTTGGTATTGTCCGGTTGCACCAAGTCATCCACCTGAGAAGTACCAGAGGCTCAAACAGGAGAAGGATGCGCGAGAGCGAGCTCGGCAAGATCGCAAGAACGCTTGGAAGCGCGAGCGATACCAAGAGAAGAGGCGATTACGGCACGCCGAGAGGAAAAAAAGAATACAAGGTAAAGCCTCCGCATGTACTTGAATCTAGTCGTCAACTAAATTCACGTTTGTAATTTTGTATCAGGCACTTATGCTCCAAGTCGTTCTTCGAACATGAATTCTTCCTCTGATATATGACGTAGTCCGAGCGTGGTTGCAGTCCAAGTTAGACTGTCTAACCGTTAGATCACCGCGGTTCTCGCTTGCTCTCGACCATCGACCACTAATGATGCAGCTACAGAGCAATATTTTGAAATGTAATATCTTGTTGGAGGCTGAGCCAGTGGCTCCTCGGTGTCATCTTGTATATCATGTCCCTCAGGCTCTCAAAAAAGTGGCCTTCTAAAACCAAATTTGAGGGTGTTGTGTTGAGGACAGGATTTTAGGGGGTACTGTTCTTCCTGAGTATCATCACGATATGCTCGTGGCCTCTCATCCGGACCCCATTTGTCCTCCCTCTCTCTCTTCCCCTCTCCCTCTCCCTCCCTTTCTCCCCTCTCTTTTCCCTTTCCCCTCTTCCCCCCTCCATTTCTTGATTTTTCCCCCCAGCCTAGGTCAGCTGGATAGAATGTCTGCCTACGGAGCAGATGGTCGTAGGTTCGAATCCTGCAACGGGTATACAT